CAATCTGAGTGCTAAAAAATAAATATAACTAGGTGCAACAGAACGTTTTAAATTTCCGATCTCTCTATTAGACTCTATGACTGACTAATCTGCGTCCTTAAAGTGGTTGAGCCATGGTTACTTGTACCTGAATACTGAAGGTTTTTAGCAGCAATTCAGGATAGAGTAATAAGAACTAAAAACTATGAAAAACATATTTTAAAAACATGTGATATCGACAAATGTAGATGAGGTAACAACGGAGAGTCTATTGAGCACATAATGGCTGGTGTACCACTTTGTTAGAGAGTAACTATTTAGGCAGACATAACCAAATGGAAACAGACATTCACTTAGAACTAGGAATGAAACTTGGAATGTTGGGGAGTAATGTTCCAGCATACTACAAGTATGAACCAGATGATGAGTTCGAGACGAAGACGCACGTCTTATATGACGCCTATGCCTATTATGACGGATAAAACAGTTGATCGTAATCGCTCTGACATCCTCGTAATAGGCAAAGAAAAGAAAGCAGCTGCTATAATCGATGTTGAAATTCCTTTGACTCACAACTTACGGATTCCGAAGCGGAAAAATTAAGAAAATATGAGAACTTGGCAATTGAATTAAAATACATTTGGAAGTTACATGAGGTCTCCCATATCTCCATTTCAGTTGAAAGAGTCATCACCAGGAACATTAAAAGAAATCTGGAGAATTTAGATATCAAAAATATCTTTGACGAAGCTCAGAAAGCTACCCTCCTTCAAACATGACATTGTCAGAAAATTCTTAAATGCGTTACATTTATGTAAATCAGGATGAATTTTCTTTCTGCGCAGTCCGAGCCTAGTCGTATAACATCAGTTGGGTGAAAGTTTTCCCTGCTAAAGCAGAGAAAGCGTGAGTAATAATAATAATAATAATAATAATAATAATAATAATAATAATAATAATAATAATAATAATATCAATAATTCTGTTTCACTTTCTCTCTCACTCAACGTTTGTCTTGCCATAAGGGTAATGGAATTCAGAACAACCAAAATAGTTTCAGAGCAAATTGTTTATTTTTATACGGTAGTGAATCGTATAAGGGAATAGTACATCAACCAAACAATTAAATAGTAGCTTTCTGGCTGTCCGGGTGACGCCGCGTCGTTGGCTGAGGGGCCGATGTTTCGCCTGTCATGTCGCAACCATGTCACTACCCAGAGGAAGCCTACGACATGACAGGCGAAACAACGAAGCCACCCGGACGGCCAAGAAGTCATGAACTCGAGCCGCGGAAGCTTACGTGCATACTAAATAGAATATCAAGAATTACATTCTACACTTTCAATGATTGATTGTTGGATTACTAGTGATTCTGGGCAACACTATTCCCGTAAGCGAAGTGCATGTTTTTGCACGAGAAGTGGCTCTTTCCCTGCTGGATCCTGCGCCGACCCATCGCCGGCTAACGAAATTTTCTGCAACCACATATCTCCCACCGCCCAGCCGGGACAAGCTCTATTCTCCAGATCGGTCTCCTGGTATTTCTGGTAGTGTAGTGCATGTAGGCCTACGTGTAAGTGTATGTAAGGGGTAGGATAGGACAAGGTATGAGAGGGCTGGGAGGGAAAGATCGCGCGCCGTCCGTGGCCCGTTTGTTAGAGTACTGCTCCGGCATTCGTCTGGTGTTGACCGGAGGAACCACGGAAAACTACCGATCAAAACAGCTAGCCGCTACGAGTTTCCTCCAGATAGCTTCATAACTCAACCTAGGTATCTGGCAAGTGCCGAAAATCCTGCCACCATCGTGACTCGAACCCTAAGATCTCAGAGGCCCTGCAGTGACATCAGTTGATGCGAGCAATCTCTCCCGGTCATCAGAGTGGCCACTTTCTTTCTTGGAGGAATTTCCCTGACTTTTCCAGGTTATCCAAGACATTTCCCTTATTTTTGCAAGACAAAATTTATGAAATATTTCAGGGTATAAAAAATATAAAGCATTAATTTGGTTGATATTAAAGCATTGTTATTGACTGAGCGCCCTTTTTACCTTAGCATTCCAGATTCTCTTGCACCAACACATTGTGAGAGACAGATGCACTTCCTTTCAAATCACATACTAGTAACTTTTTACTTTCCCGTATACGTTCGTATAGATGGGGTAATATACTTACCTATACGGGAAAGTAATGTAATGTATAAAGGAAATGGTGCATAGGGATGTATAAAGGAAATGGTGCAATGGGATAGGTAATGCTGCGGAAAATCGAGTTCGAGATTTGCTGGAACTATGAACACTACTAGCGCCTAAACCACGCGTAAGATTTTGTTTTTTAATTGACGAAACCCTGACCATCTTGCTCGAGTCAAAGCTTTGAGATTATGAAAATCTTTCTTTAAAATTTGAGGGTAATTTACATGAAGCCCTCCAGGCATTTTCAAAATTATCTAAAAAACGGCTCCAAATTGTTTCTTTAAATTTGTTGTAAGAATAGAATAACATACACTTATAAAGGTAGCATAGGTTCGATTTTCACGGTTAACTCTGAATGTCAAAAGTATGAATTTTTTTCGGTGTCTTCCTACAACTACAAAATTAAAGATAGACATTTTTCCTTCAAATGAAATTTGTTGTCAATAATTGGTTATTCCATTAAGATCACATACATATTTTAAAATTTAGTAGTTTTCACGCAATATTGCGTGCAATGTTTGCAATTTTTAAAAAAAATAACAAAAACAAGATTTTCTAAAACACGGCTCTACGTTTTCTCTAACTTTTGGTAGGGATAGTGCCAAATGTACTCTATTTGATAACGTAAACATCAGTTTTCGCTGACTTTTGTTTTTCCAAAAATTACAAAAATGTAATTTTGTTGACATGTCTCTCACGTTGTTAATATTTACATTCGCAGTGATTAGTTGACATTATTATATTTATGAGTACATGTGCTTTAAATAATGTCAAATAAAGTTTCTCGAAAACTCAAACGTTTTCTGTGAAAACTAATTCAAAATTCCGCATTTTCAGAAACGCCATTCTCTCAAAATCTGTTCCAAATTTTTCCTTCAAACTTTTTCAACGAATAGTGCTAATTGTACTCTTTAGTATGACGTACAGTTCATTTCGGTGTATTTTTTGTTGTTTTTTTTTCTTCAAAAATTACATAAAAGTAAATTTTTTGAAAGATCTTTCACGCCGTTAGTATGTACATTTTCAGCAATTCGTAAACACTGTTGTATTTGCGAGTTAAAGTGCTTTAAATAATTTCTAATGAAGGTTGTCGTGAAAACTCAAAAATTTTCTGTGAAAAAGAGCTTTATATTTCGAATTTACAGTATCGCTTAAGCGAAATTTTCTTTCAAACGGTTCCAATTTTTTCAAAGAAAATAGCAATTTAGAACTAGGTTTTATTGTTCTTTAATATTCTTAAAATAATACATTCCTTTTACTATTAGGAAATCGAAAAATTAAGAAAATGTAAAAAAAAAATTATTTTGGGTGGCGATGGCTGCTGGCAAGAATATGTGGCACGTTCGTATAGCTATCTGAGACCAAAGGAAATAAAAAGAAACTAATACGGTAAAATCTGTGCCATTCTGTTGCACCTAGTTATATTTATTTTTTAGCACTCAGATTGCAATGTTCTCTTTATGTAGCGCTTCTGTGATGTAGTTCACAAGTAGTCCCAAAATGTACTTTTTTTAAATAATATGTGGAATTAAAACAACAGTAAACAACGTAAACATAAGCACAGCGCATAGACATAAATATTAACATAAGTGATAGACTGAAGTATTCACAATGTCTAACATAAAACGTAAGCAAAATAAGTTTCTATAGGCAGTGAGGCATTCTAGTTTACTATTGGTTGGATGTGAGAATCGATTTCAATTGTCCCTATTGCTAATCTTGCGATTTTTACAATTTATTTTTATTTATGTTAAACGTTTACTCATCTTTCAACTATTTATAGTTAAAATGAAAGGAAGGGATTCCGGAACTCAAGAAAACGTGCGCAGATAATATTTTCACCCCTACGTCACATCCAGTTTTTACTGTTTTTTGACTGAATAAATCTAAATCTAAGTCAATCATCTGGCTTTGATACAATTTTTTAGTTTTTTTAATGGGGGAAGCATTAAAAAAGTATTTTAAGAGTATTTTATAGATCATTTTTTTCTGTTTTAGGTCATCAAAATCCGCCCCTAGTTATTAGTGTTTTTAAAGGCGAGAAGTGTAGGATACAAGACAACGAAGTCCAAAATATTTTCGAAAGAGTGGCTATGTACGCCAGTACTTTACCACCCAAGTGTACATTACTACACTAGGACGCTAAGACTTCATTACGAAACTCATTATAATGGCATAATGTTTGATTTTACCTAACCAAAGTAGATAAAAAATTACGTCATTTTTCTTTGCATTTATAAACATGAAATATAATAAAAATTTGTAATATGAAATATAATATAATATATAATATTTAATTATAAAAACATTGAGTTTTTTTTTGTTATTTAAGGTCGCATCAACATCTAGATCATTAGGGACCACTATTATAT